AAGGGCATCAGTATGTTTCTTTTCAGTTAGCATTTGAAGTATTTAGTTCTTAGGCTGATTGCCTCTTCCTTATTTATCTGCGTATATTTTAATGGCTAGGACTAAATAAATTGAACCCTTTTGGCCTGTATGAGGGGACTGCATGGGAGGGCTAACATTTGAAATATTTAACTCTTAGGTTGATTGCCTCTTCCTAATTTATCTAAATACATTTGCTGGCTAGGACTAAATAATTTGAGCCTGTTTGACCTGCATGAGGGAAATGCATGAGAGGGTGGTTCTGAGCATGTGTATAACACCCCAAGTTCAGTTCCATCATTACTTCTAAGTAATTCCTTTAAGAGAATTCAAGGGACGACAGAAGCAATTTAATTTCAGTTTGAAGTGTCATTAGTAACATCTATCATCTGGTAAAAGAAAAAAAAGACTCTAAATTGGAGACAGATTTGAGTACTTCTTAATTAGTTACACGTAGTACACTTGGACACATTTCTCTCCCTCAAACACTGGTTTTCAACCTTCCTAATGCTGCAGCCCTTTAACATAGCTCCTCATGTGGTGATCCCCCCAACCACAAATTTCTTTTCGTTGCTGCTTCATAGCTGCAATTTCATGACTGTTTTAACTTGTAATATAAATACCTGTGTTTTCCAATGGTCTTAGGCATCCCCTGTGAAAGCGTCATTCAACTCCCCAAGGGGTCATACCCGACATATGAGAGCTATGGCCTTGAAAGAAGAGGGTCTGGTGTTGTACGACAGCCTTATTTCAGGGACTGGCAGGTCGGGGCTCAGGGATGCTTTATATGTTTGGGAGTAGTCTTCTGATTCAATGGTCATTTTTTTTTTTTTTACCTTAGGAAAGGAAAAATTCTAGTTCCATCAAAAGAGAAGAACGGGAAATTTGTCTTCAGTGCTGAACATATACTCAAAAACTTTCCTTATATTTGAGGGCATTTGGCAGCTTATTTCACCCTTAAGTTTGAGTTATTAGACATTGGCATGTTTTCTGTTTAAATGAGCAGGACTATGCTCTAAGGGAATGCTTTAGAACTCTCTGATGTTAGTAGTCAATTTCTACAACAACCCTTAGAGGTGTGCTGGGAGAGACTGCCATCTCTACTTTCTGGGAAGCATGCAAGTCAAAGGTAAAGCAGATGAATTTTCTCCAATATCACAAAGCTCCTGTGTGGACGAAATGGTAGACATCAGAATGAATTCTGCTGATACGCACTTCCAAATGTTTGCTTCTTAAACTCCTAATCCCCAGGAAGAGACTTTTCTGCAGCCGGTCCTTGCTCTGAAGCTCACAGTTTATCCAGGTCCCGTGGTCAAGGCTCCTGTTCTCAGTGTCTTAGCTCTTCTAACCTGCTTCTTCTTCTTTTTTTTTTCTGTTTCTGAAGATTATTCCATGCAGGAGTGGACTCTTCCTTCTTCCTAATTGACTTTTATATGGAAGCTTCTGCCATAATGGCATCCTATGTACCAGTGTTCCCTCCCGCTTTCCATTTTAGTGTTTCTTGCCTAGAGGGAGAAACACATTCTGTTGTTTGGCATTGTTTTTGCTAAGGGAGAAATTTGTAGGGTCTCCGACAACGACCTTCCTGGGAGTCAACTCTTTTTTTTTCCTTATGAAAAATTCTTTGGGTGTAGGCACACATTTCATTTTTGTGCCTATTATCCTTTGCTAATAATTAAATTGCATTGGTTCGTGAGAGCAGCTCAGAGCAGCATGGAGGTACAAACAATAAAAACCATGGTCTCAGAGAGATCAAGTTTGAATCTGGGCATCGAGTTCTCTCTGGAGCAGATGTCCTCCTTTTTCAGCAGTGCGACATGTTAGCAATATTGACTTCGTGAGGCTATTGAGATGCCTGACAAGTATTTTTCTTGGAAGGAATGGGGTATGAGGAAAATGCAGCCCTCTTGCTAGAATACAGAACGTGTCTGTGCTGCCTGGCTTCTATGTTGCCTGCAGCTCTTTTCTCTTCCCTGGCCTGCTCTCAGAGCTTTCTGCCCTGGGAGGCTGACAGATGAAAAGGGTATCAGCAGCTTCCTTTGCCGTCTTGCTCAGTTGCATTCAGCTATTGGGGAATCCTGGCAAGAGATCAGAGGTCACGTGCTTCTCCTCACCTCCTTCTTCCAGGCTGTGCCAGAGAGTAACCCGGTTTGTCAAGGCAGCCAGTTGGCATGATTGCCTTCTCGGAGATTCTGGCATCCATCTTTGCTTGCTCTTTGAACTTAGTGTATCTAACTCTACCATTGCCTGTCCCCAGGACGGTACTGTCATTGCGGGTCACTCTGTCTACCCCACCTTCATCTTCAAACTCTCTTCAAGTAATCCTGATATTAGTACACTGTCTCACAAGATCCTGACAAATGATTCACTAATACTTAGTTGAAATTTGCCTAGTCTTGTTTTCTTTGTTGGAGTTTAGGCATTGTGGACAATAAATTAGAATCAGTTGTGTCATCATTACTTGCAATGAGGTACTCAAGAGAAAAATGTAGATGTTTAAGACAAAAGTGTCACCCATCTCTTACAGGCCATGACTTTGCTAGACAATGCTTTGTGCAAATCATTCCATCTACACTCAAAGCCCAAGTGTCCATCATCGGCTGTCTGCTCAGGCAAGTCAGGTCCCCCAGAGCTGCACAGAGATATCCCGATTTGGCGCCTATGTCTCTACTCTTTTAAAGAGGCCAAGCTACCTCCTAGCTATACAGATGGAGAATTTGCTCTTTCAATTAAATCCATTTGTTTACTCATATTCCTTTAAGTTTTGAATTCCTGTGGGACAGTACCTCTTAATGACAGAATTAAAGGCTTTTAAGGCAAATTTCTTAAGGACTTGATTAATTCAGCAAACCTTTCTAGGTCAAATCTGTTATTTGTCTGATTTTACTGATTTGTTCATATGAACTCATTGATTAAGTAGCTCACTATGGGCACTACTTCATGCTTGGTACCCTAAGGGTACTCATTACATATCAAATGAATAATTAACTATCTTCAATGAGTTTCTCTCTGATAATGTGTCAGTTTCCCACAGTAGTTATCTAGATGGTTTTTTTCCCTCTCTCTCTAGGCATGGGCACTTAGTTCATAATTAAAACAATCTCTATCCATTTCTCAAATGAAATGAATAATTTCCATATTCTCTGAGCCCATACAAGATGAGAGGCATCATACGTAATCATGACGGTGACTCTGGTCCTGGAGGCACCCGAAAAAAGTATTTTTCCTTTGTAGGTTGGCCCTCCATACAAACCCTCTTCTGTTAAAACAGTCACCAAAAAAAAAAAAAAAAAAAAGACCATACACACTCAAAGAAATGATTATTATTTTTTTCCCTAGAAACTCACATTGGATAATGTGTTTTTCTCTTGCCTTAAGGCAAACATTTTATTCAAGCTGGAAAAGGCTTTTTTCCTTTGGTAGCTCTGGGTCTCTACATCCCGGGGTATTCTTAACAATAATAGTATCCCTTCTCTCTTTCTATTTCCACCTTGCTGTTAAGGGACCTCTGGCCTCCCTAAAAATATCTCACTTTGATTTTGAAAACTCTGAAGAGAGTGACTCATACGTGATTAAAACAAGTTTCTCTGGCCTTGAGAGAGTTCCACTGTGGGTTGCTAGAGAGCTCAGTCAAGGTCCCTATCCAATGGTGTGTTCTGCTGGACAGCTACCCCTATGCTCGGATCCATAGTGCTTCTTGTGATCTCTTCTTCTTTGAATTCATACTCTTTTATTTTTGAGACAGGGTTTCTCTGTAGCTTTGGAGCCTGTCCTGGAACTAGCTCTTGTAGACCAGGCTGGCCTTGAACTCACAGAGATCTGCCTGCTCCTGGCTCCTGACTGCCTAGCCTGAATTCATATTTTTAAAGTAGATAATTGTTTCAGATTACTTATGCTTTTAATGTATAGTTCATAATAACCTTAGTTTTTTTTTTAAAAAACCCTTTTTTTTTTGTGAAACCAACTCCTTCAGCCCTTAATTGTTGCTACTCTTTCCCCTAAGCTTTAGACACATTATTTTCCATAAAGAAGCTTAGATTATATCCAAAAGATTGAGCAACACATGGTTTCTGCCAACACTCCACATCTCCAATGACAGCTGACACTTTTAGTCAATGTTTTGATCAAGCTCGTTGACCTCATCCTCTTCCCTCCACAGTAGGTCCCCCAAAGACCTACATTATCCCACATACAAGCCTGTCCCCCACATGGGCAAGTCATGTCTAGATGTAGGTGAGTATTGGAAATGTACCGATTTCTCTTGTTCTTCCTTCAAGACCCAGTGCCCTTTCCAGTGGTTCGGAAAAGTGGCGGTTAGGTAACGAGGCAGTTGATGTTGTGAAAGGGGCAGCTCTTCTGCAATAGTCTCAAGAGGAACAGTTACTGTTTAACTAGCGAGCTGCCCTCACCTTCTCGCAAGCATTCTTCTCAACCCCTTGGAACTGCAAGGCTCAAGAATTCACTTGACTGTTGCACATCCACTGGGATGGCTTCCCTGACCTTTATGTAGATTTCCTGGTAGCACAACAAGAAAAGAAAGCCGTGAAGCTGTTCTCACGGCCACCCTGCAGTAGGTGATGCTCTTCCAGTGTTGGACACAGCTATGTTGTTGACCCCTTAGTGGAAAATTGAGAAGTCCCTTGTTTTCCCAGCAAGGATTGGCACATATGGTGATTCAGCGGCATCTTTCCTTCATATGAGAATCTTTAGGCTCTGTCTACCACACCTATTTATTTCAAGCACCAAAAAAGTAAGCGTAGATGTTTAACAGAAAGCAGATGTCGCTGGGATCTGTAGCTTGTGTTTAACAAAAGCTGTGTTGGAAATGTTCCTCGTGTCCACTTTTATTGCTTTAAACACATCAACATCTCCGCCTGTTCTGATGAATTATTTAAGAATCACTGTCCCAGTCCGTGGCAGCGTTTCGAGGTGCACATGTTAATCATATACTTGATTAAACATTTCCTTGCCTTTTCCTCCAGCATTCCAGTTGCTTTTGAGTGGACAATTGTTACAGCAAGAGGAGCGACGCTGGAAGCAGCTAGTGGCATCTGAACTACTGAGAACTCCGCCATGGAGAGGAATACTTGTGACTCACTTTCTCGGAGCAAAAGTGTAAGTACCTTTCATTTTCTCTTCTTTTGTAAAACATGTAGTGACGTTTTTAGTTTTCCCTGGGTTTTAATGCTGTGTTGTCATAATTAGGTTTGTGTGAGACTCTGGTTAACTTTCAGTTCTCTAACTGTATGCAGATGAAGACTTCTTCATCTGTGTGGCCTGGTTGATATCTGATGGGTGGCGTTGGAATTTATCTGCTTTCCCACCCGTTCATACAAGTTTCATTATGTGATACTGAACACCCTGATATTTGAGTGCATAATATAAATACATAGGTGGCGTTGAAACCGGAGAAATTTGTGTCTTGACTCTTAATCTGTCTAGATAAATCCAGAGGAAGAAATTGAAAACGTGTTAAAGGTACTTACCAGTCAAATGCATTCTGATGCCCCACACCTTCCTGAGCTCCCCACTCTGACATAGGTCTCTAATTGCCAATTCTAACCTTCGTTCTTAAGATTTTTTTAAGTTGCCCTTCTTCGTGCCCCAAGAAAACGTAAATATTCTTTCCCAACTACTCAGTGTCTACAAGGTACATATTCACGATATATTTGAGTTTTCATTATCTTATAGGAAAGAAACACCCACAAAATAAGTAGAGCGATTCAAGGAAAGCTGTGCCAGACAAGGATGAAAGCAGATTTAATTTCTACCAGGAAAGTTCTAACACTATGTCCCTTTGTTCATTTACCCAAAGGGAAGAAGCATCCAAACAGATGTGGTTGTGACGTAGGAACATTTGTTTGAAGGCATCAGAAAAACCACAAATGCAAACACATTTCTCCAGTATGGGAATGCTTTGTGTTTCCTCTGTGATCTTACTGTAATGGCCCAAGGCCATCTCTCATTCTTCCTATAGAAATGGGATCAGTGTGCGGAAAGGACAAAGATAGTCTGCCTTTCAGCATTTCTCAAAATAGACAAATGAAAAACAAGGCTATGCAGAGAGGTGTGCCAGTCATTTAACTGAATCCCCAGTTTGATAGCCAACCAAAGAAATAAAAAAAAAACTGGTAAATTTTCATATTCATTTGTTTTAGTAGTTAGTGTTTGGTTCTGTGGAATTTGCATAACATAAAAGGCCAGAGTGTTGTGCCTGGAATTCTTTTTTATCATTGTGCATGGTTTCCCATTGTAATAGGGGTGACCTGCATTCAAATTACCAAGCTAAGAACACAGCTGTTGCTGAGTTTTCTTATTATAAATCAAATATGAGAGCAAACCATCAATATGATGCTCCCTTTTATTTAATTTGGGGGAATGTGACTTGAAAAAATAAAGGCAGAAGGGAGATTGCTTTAGATAATTAAAACATATCATTTAATACGTCTCTGTTTTTGGAGGTAAAACTCGTTCTAGAGGTAAATGATCCAAGGAGGTGTCACTGTAAGGGCCTGAGAAGGCTTAATTTAGATACTAGGAGATTTCCTGCTTGTGGTTGTCTTGTACGCGATTTCTTTGTCTCTCTGGAAACGCTGAAGCTTCCCAGATCATGAGAACTTGAGCTGCTTGCATTCAGGTGGCAGCAGCCTTTGGGCTCTGGTTTATTTCTTTGCTTCTTCAGAACCCACTGGTGCAGAGAGAGCACTTCCACTCAGCTGAGCGACTCTGAGCGGGAATGACTCCTTATCAGAGACACAAGGCTGCTGCTGTGTTAGTAAGAACTTGCCACTTGAGGGTTTCAAATCGGGTCCGCCATGTCACCTCTACCACTGAAGTCTTTGTCACAAAGAGAATCCCAAACTGCACACTCAGAAGTAGCTGTTTCTGTTTTTTTAGAGAAACTTTAAATAATTTGATTTGGGAACTCTCAATTCTTTATTTTGGCATATGACATTTGGAAATCGAATAACATAAACCTCAAATTAGAGGCTGCTTTTCTGATTGTCCAGATGTTACTGCATAGATCCTGTATCCGTCACTGTGAACTGAGGCATGTTGGTTATATTTTTACTTCTGTGATAAACTGAAAAAAAAAAAGCAACTTAGGAAAGAAAGGGCTTGTTGTCTCACACCTTGAATTCTCATCCATCATGGCAAAGGGGGTGTGTGGCAGGACATTGGCGTTGCTGGCCACAATGTATGTGAAGGCAGGAAACAGAAGAGGAATGTTAGCCCCAGCTGGCTTCCTCCCAACTTTCTTCTTTTCATTCAGTCTGGATTCCAGTTCCTGGTGTGATGTTATACACATTCATGATAGGTTTTTTTTTCCTTCAATTAGAGCTCTCTGGCTGTTTTTCTGTCCAACACATATACAGACGTATCTACAGGGTGATTCAAATCTAGTCAAGTTGACAGTGACTGCTGATCATTGCATAAGGCATACGAGATAAGAGAAGACTAACCTTAGATATTCAATTTAGTAGTGAGTTGCCTTTCTGAAGAGAGTACCAGTGTAGCTTGCCATGCCTCATAGGTCTCCGTCTAATATAAAAAATAAAGGAAGAAAAATGGGTAAACAGATTTTTGTTTAATATCACTTCTGAGTTTCTATGAGTTTAGGTCCCATATTCATTTGTAAATTGAACACAGAATTCCCTAAAGAGAGTCTGTTAGTCAGATTGGTGTATATCATTATTGGTGATATATCAATATGTCAGGTTGGTGGCTTAGATAGAAATTAGTTTGTTTTAGAGGCTGAGACTCCCAGGTGCCAGCCCCTTCTGCTGTGGTGAGGGATCAGCTCCTGGCTTGCTGATGCTCTGCAGACAGCTGCTTCCTCACTGGTCCTCATGCAGCAGACAAAGGAGCTCTCTGAAGTCTTTGCTACATCTCTCTTCCAGCCTCCTCTCATGCCCTCGTTTCCCATGCCGATCCCGCCCTCACTTTGGGAATCTGAGATTTAACTTACGAGCTGGTGAGACACAAACATTTACTTAGCTTATAACAGATTTTGTTATTCCTAAGGAATTATATTAATATGATGACATAATATAAAAACCAAATATGATCAATACTCTAGAATCAGCATATTCTTTCAACTGTTTAACACTAGAATGATCTAATTTCCATTCCTCTGACTTTTTATAAAATCTTACATGGTAAATGAACTGGATAAATTTTAATTCTGTTTTAATCAATTCTCTCATGGATTGAATTCTAAAATATAAGGTTTTTACCTAAAACTCCCAATTTTGGGTTTCCTAAATCTGTTGGAAGAGGCTTGAGATGTCATGTACTAAATTAGATTCTTTATTTTCTTGATGAAATTGCCCTCTCTTTGACTTGGGATTCTTTTGGATGTTTTACATTGGGACAAATGTGTCACTCACCAGATGTCTTTAATTGATGTTCCCTGTTCTCTTGAGCAAAATCGTTGTTTAGTGTTTATTCAAAGCTGGAAGCAATTTCTGGCTATTTGCAGAACACTGAGAATCTGGAATTTCTTTTTTTTTTTTCTTCCCAATGCTGAACAAAAAGCCCACCTATGTCAGTTCTGAACCCAGGAACTGGGATCTACTCTGGTTTGACATGTCAGTGGGTTCTCTAAAATTGCTGCTTCTTACAGATGATTTCAAAAATCCTATCCAAAACTTACATAGTACATGTATTCTACTCTTAAAAATATAGAGCTTCCCCCAACTGTATCTTGATACTTGCTGACTGGTGCTGGATGCAGTCATTTTCCTGGTGACCCAGGGGGAGCAATCGATGCCATTTCATCTGCATTGCATTGTATCAGAGCCTGCCTAGTGAGGAGAGGCAAACAGGAGTCTGAAAGGGGCAATCCATCTTGCAAAGGAACCACAGAACTGCCTGTACTTGTTATTCCTCACAGCTATGCAGAGATAGTCTGGTTTGGGATTTTATGGTTGAAGTGAAATGAATGGATTCCTTGCCAGACTAACTTTATGGCCCCACTATTGCATGCCCATCTTAGGAACATGGCTATGGAGTCCTATCAGCATAGACTTCAGACAAACTAAGAAAACTAAAATTCTTATTTTTTTCCCTCATGTTCACTTCTCAGGGTAGAGAGAGAGAGAGTCAGGAGAGGTGCTGTTACCAAGATGCTTTGAAAAACACAAATTAAAAAACAAAATGAAAACTAAGTCTCCTTCTGTGCTTTGTCAACCACACACTGATGTGAGAACACATAGCTTTAGAGATCTGATTAATTTGATAATTTGATTATTATTCCTGACTCCCAGGTAATGCTTTTGTTTTACAAAATTCAATGAAATATTTATTCAGTAGCTATGGGGTATGTTGGCTCTAGATATCCAATATGAATAGGGAACTTGATAGCTCTGCCTTCATAGAACCTACTTGACAATTAGATTTCTACATTCCATGATCTATTAAAATTGCCTTGTCAACTTGTCACCTCAACCCTGATGATCCAAGCCCATTTCGTTATAATTTTCAGTTCTCCGCAAGGACTCTGAAGCGCTGTCTTCCTTCGGCTTCCACAGCCTCTCTCTCCTCCACATTGTTTGTATCATCTTTAGCAGAGATATTTTAGCTGCGAATAATGTGGCCTAATTGTCAATTATGCTTATTGTTGCAGAAACATAGATTATTTTAGAGTAGTTGAAAAGAAGTTTCCTCAGATAATCAACAATAGTGTAAGAATAGCTGGGAGTATAAATGAATGTGAGTAGGGTACAGAAAAAAAAAATCCGAAAGAATACGGCCTGATCAGCAGTCATCTGCCTTGAAATCAATCTCATGTCACATGGCTGCCCCTGCAGCCACAGCCAGTCACTAAGTTGTTGTCTGAGAAAAACCTCTGCATTTTCTGATATGGTAACGTGTTTGCTGTTTTCTCTTAGAGCAAATTCAAGTGCAAGTTGAATTCCAAGTGATGATGACCAAAAAATAATTTCATATATTGTTAACGATGGAAACACCAGAGATGTGTCGAAACGTAGAGGAGTCCTATTGAACTGATGTTCTGTCTTCAAA